CCGCTTAGGAAATCTTCCAGAAACCCTAGGAACACGGATTGGGAAGGTTACCGAAGGAGACTTYGGCAAACTCTCCCACGCGCACCGGGGGTGGACTTGTTGGCCAATGTCACGGCCAAGGATTTCAGGCCAATCAGCCAAGGACTTCGCTGTTGGGACTTTCCTTGATATCGAGGGAGCTTTCAACAATGTCCTACCTGAAGCAGTAGTAACTGCTCTTGACGGTCTTGGGGTTGAATCAAACCTCAAGCACTTCATTTTCAGTCTTCTGTGCGACAGAGTGATCGAAAAAGAATGGGACAGTGCGCGTGCGAGGCGAAATGTGAGTAGGGGAATACCACAAGGTAGGGTTCTCTCTCCTCTTCTATGGATCCTAATCGCTGACGAATTGCTCAAAAAACTAGAGGATCAGGGCTGTCGGGTGATTGCCTATGCAGACGATGTAGCACTTATGGTCAAAGGARAGTTCCTTAGCACCGTGTACGAGTTGACGCAGGGATATCTCAGCGTTGTAACAAAATGGGCAGCCGGTAGTGGAATCGCCATCAATCCAAGCAAAACAGAAACGGTTTTATACAGCCAGAAACATAAAATCCCCGTGGCGCCGATACCGGCGGATACACTGAAATATTTAGGGCTCATCCTGGATAAGAAGCTTTCATGGAAGCCGAATATCGAGGAGAGAGAAAAAAAGGCATCTATTGCTTATACTGCTGCAGAGGAGCTATTGGTAAAAGGTGGGGCCTCTCACCGGAAGTGATCCTCTGGCTCTATAACACCATAGTCAAGCCCATCTTGTTCTATGCTGTCTTCATGTGGTGAAGGCCTTGGAAAACCACACTGGCCAAGAAACTCGAAAGCGTTCAACGGGCTGCGCTAATTAGCATATGTGGAGCATTAAGATCCACCCCAACCATGGCATTCAATGCAGTTTTGAATATAACGCCGGTGGACATTGCCGGTAGGTGCATAGCCGCGAAGGTGTCTATTAGACTCGGRTAATCTGGTTTCTTAAAGGAACGCGTATCCGGACATTCAGATATCCTCACAAACTTTGACTGCATACCGGATCATCTGGATCATGGAATCGCCGARCCGCTCTCTGGAGGCTCCTTCTCTGCCCACACATCGACGAGGGAGGAATGGGTGGGAAGAAGCCGTTGGAGAAGAGGGGCAGCGAGCTTCTTCACGGATGGATCAAAGCTTGAGGGGAAGGCTGGTGGAGGGGTCTACTATCGGGAGCTCTCTATCAACTCCTGTTTCAGACTTCGCGATTACTGAAGTGTATGCCAGGCTGAGGTCGCAGCCATCAGGGTAGCAGCAGATTTGCTGCTACGGAGTGCATCCACCTTCAGAGAAGTGACTATTCACTCAGACAGTAGAGCGGCAATACTAGCCTTGAACTCATTCACAGTGCGTTCAGCGTTGGTTAAAGAATGTCTACCGTCGCTATCTCTAGCAGCTAGAGTTTTTATGATTAGACTGGTATGGGTGCCGGGCCACAGCGGAATTGTAGGTAACTGCAAAGCTGATGAGTTAGCAAGAAAAGGCACCCTACAATCATTATCGGTAGAATGGGAACGGATCGGTGTTCCTCTATCGTCTTGTGTTCCAATACTAGATAGCTGGGCCAGCATCGGTACTTGTGCGGTTGCAAAAGCCTTCTGGCCCAGGATAGATCGCAGGACATCTAAACAGCTCTTAAGCGTCAAGAAGGCTAACATCTCATTACTATTGGGACTCTTAACAAGCCACTGCCTTATTGGTTTACATGCGGTAAGAATGGGTATCTTACCGAAAACTGACTGTAGATGTTGTTTAGAAGAGGATGCGGTAGAAACAAGCCAGCACTTCCTGCTTGACTGTAACGCGTTTGGGAGGTCAAGACTCAGACACTTGGGAGAACATACCTTTGGACATCCCACCGAACTGGCGGGTGTTGAAGTTAAGCGTCTGTGTCACTATATATTAGCTACAAAGCGCTTCGCCAATATGTAAGTTCGAACACGGGAGTTCTCTTCTATGGCATCACAAAGGACTACATTATTAGTCTAATTGTGATCTTTGATCAGTCATCAAATCAAAACAAACCAACCTCATAAAGAAATCGTTATATTATTACTTTGATTTTTTATTTTTTTCCCCCTGACAATAGAAGAGTTATTTCATAACTTTTATTTATTGTCCCCAGAATAATAGTTATAGAGTATGTTTTAAACTATTGAGCAATAAGGAAAACTTCTTTCCTCTTGGTCCCTGCTTTTAAATAATTTTTATTACAGATTGAGAATATATTTTTATTTAAATATACCATTTTGGTTTTTTTATTTTAATAATATTAAGTAACAAAACTCTCATTTCCTTGATGCCGGTAGTTATCAAGAATGTATTTTAAATGGCTTAAACTTTGGACGCATAAAACAATCGAATCTATAGTTGTTAAAAAAACTGCTTTTTAATCTTAAGAACACCATATTTGTGCAAACAACATAATTCTACCCATTTTCTATTAATATTTTTCCTGCATCATGCAGAATTAATGTCCAACTTCAATTGTTAGCAAAATACAGCTAGCTTAAAAGCTGTAATAGGGCCATTTGTTATTATTATTGTTATAACGGCACATTTCTACAGAACTCCGATCACTTAGCTGTAATAACACTGCACATATCCGGATTGATTGTGCGTGGTCTACCCATGACAAGAGTGTTCCTAATTCATTCACGTCGAACTCTTTTCGCTCTAATTAGGCTTATTTTTTTTTACAAATGCGGGCAAAACGTGAAGGATTGTGAACACTCCGTTGTTGGATCTACCAGGTACGTAAGAGAATTGTGAACACCCCAGTTTTGTATCAACCTGGATTTTTTTTTTTTTAATCGCGACCGAAGGTGAAGCGAATGAATGATACCTTATGGTGTCTACCCAACACTATAAATCACTATTTTTTAAGGAATACCGTGTGTATATAGTTGCCTCTGACTTATGGTTTTTGAGGTATTTGAATCTATAGTTCAAAAACTCAACAATTTATAATGCGTTTTTCTCCGATTTATAATGAATTTTAAACTTATATTTTTAGCTTTTGTAGCCGCTAACACTTCACTAATTCGTTTCTAATATTTTACTTTATATTAAACAATATTAAACTTTAGTTGAAATTCATGTATTCATACATTAAAAAGGAATGAAATTTGCAAACAAGCAAAAAATTAGTGTTTCCATATTTTGTAATGGAATAACAATAAGAAAAAAGAATGATTATGCCGTCAATACAAAATTCATTATCGTGTGATGAGTAAGGTAAAATATTTCAGAATTTTCGGTATCTTGATAAATCCCGATGTTGGATCGGAGAGGGTTATTTTTTTGAAGCGGGGCCGAAGGCCGCCAACGCAAAACGGGGTTCAGGGCGAATGAATTGAAGGCACAATTCCGATTTCTTTGGCGCCGTGATCTGAAGGTATCGTTGGAAAGAGGAAGTCCTCCTGATTAAAAAATATATAGGTACCGCAAACGCTTAGTATTTCAAGACGCTATTTCACCACATTAAACACATTTTATTCACATTTTTCACTTCAAATTAATTAAATTGCACTATAAACTTGTAGATAACTCCATATCTTACACTTTGGCAGGTTTTTTACCTAAAAAACCTGCATTTTAAAAATTAAATTTTACACTCGTTTGAACCCCATTTTTTTTACCAAAAATTACGGTGAAATGGAGCGCTGCCATGTTATGTTAAGGCAATTCCTTGAAATTCCTCTCTTTCGCAAAAAATCCTCTATTCATGCATATGGATATTTTCTTTTTTAAATTTATTAAGCAAATAAGTAATATTATATACATGTATTAGTAATATTATATAATAATATTATATATACATATGTATAAGTAATATTATATAATAATGTTACGTAATAAAGTGTAAAGTATATTAGTATAGTATGAATATTCAAATTTTCGTTCAATATGAGTGCATGCTAACCAACAAATATAACCACTTAAACCACTTTATAACAAAAACTCAATCAGAAAGCAGTACTACGCGAAAGTACTTTCGTCCACCCTAGTATTCGCTCGGTCAGGGTTATTTTTTTAAAGTACTTCAGTCATCCCGACATGATATGATATAAATTTTATAATACTATATTATCATAGAGTTTTAATTATATGCGTTTATTAAATATAAATCACTTATTACACATATAGATACTATATGTAAAATGAATAATATGTGAAAAAAGTTTTCACAACTCAATTATAACTTAAAAAATTTTAGAAATTATTTTTTATTATAATTAATGTAGAAAAAAGAATCACGCAAAAAAACAAACAAAGAAAAATCGTTAAGAATCCTACATATTTGGTGTTTAAGATGTGGCAACGCTCGTTTTCCTCATAATTGTAAACAATCTAACCTTTGCAATGCCGAGTTCGCTAAGTGATTTTTACACTAATAAATTTAGGTGAAATATTACAAAATAAAATTGAAATGTGAACTTATTTCAATGCTTAGACTGTATATTTAAATATACAGAGAGAAAAACGTGAATAAATTTAATGGAATATAGAGAAATACCTTGTGTTAATAGTGCATATTTTTGAACTTTTAATTGTGAAAATTTTTAAAAATATAAGTAATTTTTATATTGATTTTGGATATTCCTCCTCTGGAGAAGCTCCCCTATCCGGACATACCCCATTTATACGGAAATTCGTTTTTTTACCCCTCCGCCAAAGTAATCGCGCGGCTGAAGGCCGCCAATGTCGAAAGGAGTTCTATGCCCGAAGCTAATGTGTTATATATTTCTTGTCATTGGGGTATTATTTGTTTTCTTTATTACTTTTGGTTTCTCTACGCGAGAAAGCACTGATTATTAATTAGAATGCAACCCGTTTGCTACAAAAAAAAATTATTCTTTAGAACTCGACGTGTGAACGAATAGTAAGAATTTTTCTAATATTACCTGCCATGATAAACGCATGTATATTAAAAGTTATTGAAAATATGTCAGGTAGTTAACTTCCTTTTCCGTTGTATTCTTCTAGCAGGAGTGGACGTGTCGAAAGTTTTAAAATGGGACGCCGACCAGCAAGATGGTATGAGGGGTGAATTTATTTGGATTTTTTTTGTGTTAAATATGATTTCTTAACAGTTATCGATACTGCAAAAATAAGCCGTACCCAAAGTCCAGATTTTGTCGRGGTGTGCCAGACCCCAAAATCCGTATATTCGATTTGGGCAGGAAAAAGGCTTCAGTTGAGGATTTTCCTTTGTGTGTTCACTTAGTATCAGATGAATATGAGCAACTTAGTAGTGAGGCGTTGGAGGCTGGTCGCATTTGCTGCAACAAGTATTTAGTAAAATACTGCGGTAAAGATCAGTTCCACATACGTATGCGTCTACATCCATTCCACGTGATTCGAATTAATAAAATGTTGTCATGTGCTGGAGCGGATAGGTAAGAAAAATAAGGTTTGAATTACTTATATATTTTTTTTTTTTTGTTTTTTTTTTTTTTTTATCAAGAAATTTACTTCAATGTATGTTTAATTACCGAAATGTGATATGATGAAAAACCCGAGCACTGGGATATGACTTAAATGATTAACGACAAAATCTGAATTTATTTCCTTTACCAATGTTTTTCCTTTAAGGAGGAAATATTTTTTAATGAAAGTTAATTATTAAAGGCTTCAGACTGGAATGCGTGGAGCTTTTGGAAAACCACAGGGAACAGTCGCTCGTGTTCACATCGGCCAGCCAATAATGTCGGTTCGCTCCAGTGATCGTTATAAGGCTCAAGTTGTTGAAGCCCTCCGCCGTGCCAAGTTTAAGTTTCCAGGACGTCAAAAGGTCTGTATTTAATTTTATGATATTTTTTCATTAAATATTATATAATTTGAACGGGTGGTATCAATAGTAAATATAATGAGGGGGGCAGGGATTTAGAATAGCATCCCCAGATTTCGGGGATAAAATGGGTATCACTGGAAAGGTGACGTTCTCTAGATCACGAAAATATATAGTTGCCGCTAACTTATAGTTTTAAAGATTTTTGCATTTAAAGTTAAAAAATTTACAACTTTTAAATTGATAATTTGTATTTTGTGAATAACTTTTCACTTGCTAACACTTCACTATAACGTTTTGGTATATTAATTTTTTTAATATTTATTGCAAACGAAGCTTTATTTTAATTATTTTGTTTTAGCTAACTTCACTACATTTCCACAACTAGAATAGGGTTGCATACTAGCAAATAAATGGTATTCCCATATCTGCCTAGTTGTCAAAAGAAAATTAGCAAAAACTTTATACCCCAAATACATAAATGGAAAACGCCAAAAATCTTTAGCAATTTTGTATAAAAGAAAAAAAGTTGCAGAATAGAGTTCTACGCTAAAGAACTCTGAACACCCCGGTGTTGGATCGGCGACCGACTTTTTTTTTTTTTTTTTTTGAAGCGCGGCCGAAGGCCGAGTTCTACGCGAAGGAACTTCCTTCTGCAACTTTTTTCTTTTATAAAAAATTGCTGAAGATTCTTGGCGTTTTCCATTTATGTATTTGGGTATAAAGTTTTTGGTTATTTTCTTTTGTTGACAACTAGGCAAATATGGCAATACCATTTATTTGCTAGTATGCTATTCTTGTGCAAATGCAGTGAATTTAATTAAAAAATAATAATTAAAATAAAGCTTTTTTTGCAATAAATATTAAAAAAATTAATACACAAAAACGCTAAAGTGAAGTGTTAGAAGGTAAAAGTTTCACGTTTTTCACTCTGTATATTTAAATATACACTGTAAGCATTGAAATAAGTTCACATTTCAATTTTATTTTGCAATATTTCACCTAAATTTATTAATGTAAAAATCACTTAGCGAACTCGGCGTTGCAAAGGTTAGATTGTTTACAATTATGAGGAAAACGAGCGTTGCCACATCTTAAACACCAAATATGTAGGATTCTTAACGATTTTCTTTGTTTTTTGCGTGATTCTTTTTTCTACATTAATTATAAAAAAAAATACTTTCTAACATTTTTAAGTTATTTTTCCACATATACATTTTATATATAGTATGTATATGTATAGTATGTGATTTATATTTAATAAACACATATAATTAAAACTATGATAATATAATAAAATTTATATATCATGTCGGGATGACTGAAGTACTTTAAAAAAATAACTCTGGCCTAGCGAATACCCGGGTGGACTGAAGTACTTTCGCGGAGTACTCCTTTCTGCGTTAAAAATAAAAAAATATATTGAGTTTTTGTTATAAAGTGGTTATATTTGTTGGTTACCATGCACTCATATTGAACGAAATTTTGAATTTTCGTACTGTACTAATATATTTTATTACGTAATATTACTAATACATGCTATATACATGTTGTTTAATAAATTTAAAAAAGAAAATATCCTTATGCGTTAATAGAGCAATTTTTGCGAAAAAGAGGAATTTCAGGGAATTGCCTTATCATCACATGGCAGCGCTCCATTTCGTCGTAATTTTTGGTAAACAAATGGGGTTCAAACGAGTGTAAAATGTAATTTTTAAAATGCAGATGTTTTCGGTAAAAAAAAAGTGTAAGATATGGAGTTATTTACAAGTTTATAGTGTAATTTAATTATTTTGAAGTGAAAAATGTGTTTAATGTGGTGAAATATCGTCTCGAAATGTACGAATTTTGCGAATATTTGAACTTTAAGGTCGAATATCTTCTAAACTAAGCGTTTGCGGTACCTATAACCCTATATATTTTTTAATCAGGAGAACGGTACCTTCAAATCGCGGCGCTAAAGAAATCGGAATTGTGCCGAAGTTTCATTGGTGTTGTCAACCCAAAATGAAAGATTTTACATATAAACTGAATATTTTTAAAAAGGAAACCCGAAATTATTTATTTATTTCTCACGAAAAGGTGAATAATTATTAAAACCTGTTAATAGCGTGATTCTGTAAGCAGTCTCTATTTGGGACATTTTGAGGTAAAGTCTCAATTCTTATGCGCGGAACACAATGCTTGCGACAAACTGCAGCAGCACGACAGTGAACTGAAAACGGCGTGAAACATGAACGTTTGTGAGGCATGTACACAAAACCACTCAGTTGTCCATTTTGYATGTACACAATTTCGTTGTGGCCATACTAACCTTGCACTTCAATGAAATTTTAATATTTTGTTCAAAGTGAAATTGTTTATGCAAAACATAAGTAAATAGGTAAATTTATTCGTTTAAATTATCAATTGTTATTATAAATGATGTAACAGAGCTATTTTATTTGTAAAATGACGTTAGGTTTGTTAGAGCTTTGAGTAATTTTACATATTAGTGGGATCACCACTCTTCCTCATCTCTCTATCTTCCATTCTACTGTCAACTCTACTGTCGTCTTACTGCCGTTGGCAAATATAGAATTAAACTAAAGTTAGCGAGAACGACAACTGTCGGCCTGCCGTCGCGTCGTCGTGCAGCTGTCAAAATCGGTCCGTCCATAAGAACGTGTGTATTTTAATATTTGACAGATGTCGTTTGCAGTCTGTCGCGAGCATTGTATTCCACATACTACTATTCAGTAAACAGTCTCTAGCGTTAGTCTCAAAACATTGCCTCAAATTTGAGACCTGATAGAAGGTCACAAAACTAAACAGAACTTTTGTCTGCCATTTTGAATATTCTGAATAGAGATCATCATAGATATTAACCGATTGTCGATTTTTTTTATATTTTGGAAGCAGTTCAAACACGAAAAGATTAAAAATAAATAAATTTTATATAAATTTCGCAAATATGAAACAAAGTGAACATATATTTATATTTTTTTTTTTATTGGTAATTATGTTTTTTGACTGTTATAGAAAATTTTACATTTGTTATCGACATATTTATTTTCTTTCAATAGTAAAAACATCTCTGAATAATTAAGTGTAATAGATTTTGTGACTGCCACTTACATAATAACAAAATCGTCTCAAGTCACAAAAATTGTTTCTAACTTAAAATCGCAAAGTTAGAGACTCGTGTCTGTATCACAGTACAGTAATTGTATTGTACGGTAAGCCTTCGTGTTCACTCAAATCCAGTCAAACTTTCTAACACTAAGTAAGCCAAAGATTTATTGGCAATGAATTTTTTTTTAATCGGAGAGAAAATAACGGGTAAATATATGGATAGAGGAAGCACTCCAGAATAGGAAGAAGTTTTTCACGAAAAACTTATAATCCGTTACTTATTTCCTGCCATTGGGGTATTACTTATAAGGTTATAAGGTAAAACTAATTTCTTGTTAGAATACAACCATTTATTTTTGGGTGATCAAAAAACCTGCCAAAATAGTAGTTTCATAATTTTTTACTTAAAAATAAAGAATGAAGAGGCAGATATAAGTATTGAAAGTGAAATACGTAGATATATGATTTTTTTTTCTGTATGCTTATTTGATAAGTACATTATCAATGATTTAACATTTCAAATTCTGAATTTCAAAATTAAACAAATGTCAAAAAAGAATATGGCGAATACTTTCTGCTTGTGCATGTTCCCCAGCGCACTAATCACGAGACTAACGGGAAAAAGTATATGAAGAGAATATGTGAGTGAAGGAAATAAAAGAATAATCTTTTTTACTTCAGCAGGCAGTCATCAAAAATGTGTGTGGTCTAACGTTCTCCCGATGAAAGACGAGGCCCTTTCTGTTAATTAGTTTTTGGCCGTTTGTTTTCGATTGCTTGCTCCAGTCTTTTCAGTTGGTGACAGTAAAATGTAGAATCAATTGTTCGACCAGGCCAACGAACACTTAGCATAACGTTAATCCTGTCTGCGACCATTTCTCGAGCTTTTCACTCTTTGGTCCATTATCTTTTTTTGCACATTATTGTTATATTTGACACACTCTCCGTCTTCTTGTTGTTGTTGTAGCGCCAAACTTTTCGTCTCCTGTTACCATTCCCTGCAGAAGTGGTTGGATTTCATTTCGTTTCAGCATAGAATCGTAGATGTTAAATCAGTCCATTAAATTTTTCGCAGACAATTCATGTGGTACCCAAACATCGAGCTTCTTTTTGTAGCCATTCTTTTTTTTAAATCGTTCAAAACCGTTTGATGATAAATGTTAAGTTCTTTAGCGATGTCATTGCTAATTATGTGACGGTTCTGGTAAATCTTTTCCATAATTTCATCGACTTTATCAACGATAGGTCGATCAGAGCGAGGTGCATCTTTCACATCGAAATTTCCGGAACGGAAGCGAACCATTGTTGTGCTACATGAACTGATATAGCATCGTCTCCGTAAACTTCACAAATTTCATTAGTGGCTTGAGTGGCATTCTTCTGTTTTAAATACAAAAATCTGTTTTACATAAAAAAATTTCAAAATATAGCGAATTTCTTCAGTATTTTCATATTATGGTATGACTCAATGTGATTGGTAGCACTGGAGATATACGACTGCAACGACATCTATTGATCATATACATTATGTATCAGTGTAAAGCAAGTGGCTTCATATTGATAAAAAAAAAAAAACACGGAGATTGTCAAATAAGCTTAAGTCAAATTCTTATTTCACTTTGTTCAATACACTTTAGAATATAAGTAATAGTAGAAAATTTTAGTTTTTTGAGGAGTAAATTTAATTTTTTATGCTTTTCCTCGTACAGAAATAGTTATATATTTTTTTATTTTTCCCAGAATAATAGTTATAGAGTATGTTTTAAACTATTGCGCAATAAGGAAAACTTCTTTCCTCTGGGTCCCTGCTTTTAAATAATTTTAATTACAGATTGAGAATATATTTTCATTTAAATATATCATTTTTTTTTAAATAATATTAAGGAACAAACCTCCCATTTCCTTGATGCCGGTGGTTATCAAGAGTGTATTTAAAATGGCTTAAACTTTGGACGCAAAAGCAATCGAATCAATGGTTGTTAAAAAAACTGCTTTTAAATCTTACGATTTAAAGATTAATATTTTTTCTGCATATAGAATCATTAATGTTTTACTTCAACTGTTTGTTAGCAAAATACAGCTAGTTTAAAAGCTGTAATAGGGCCATTTTTTCTTATTATTTTTATAACGGCACATTTCTACAGTACTCTGAACACTTGGCTGTAATAACACTGCACATATCCGGATTGAGGGTGCGTGGTCTACCCATGACAAGAGTGTTTTTAATTCATTAAATACTCGTGACTTTATTTCTCAATTGCCAGAACCAATAGAAATGGTAAGAATTCTGATGCTATTCTACAACTTTGCTTCTGCCGTTTTTTTTTGGTAAATTTAATGCATTATTGTATCAAGACGGTCCAAAAGTGTTTTCCTTTATTCCCTCAAAAAGCAATGCTTAACCCATTTACAACCAAGGAGTCAAAAAATAAGTTTATTTAAAATTTTCAGTTTTTTTTTTATTGATTTACGCCATCGTAGAGATGAACAGAAAAACATTTTTTTTTTTTTGTTTTTTTCTTACATATACGAAAATTTTGCTGTACCCACACGAGTACAATGGTCAAAAGTGTATAAAATATTTATGAGTAGGCTATTTTAAAACAGTCGCGTTCCACGCACAAAGCAGTACCGCATAGCTCGCAAATCCACCTGTAGAAACACWTGGAGCTAACRCGTGCTTAGAATATCTTTTCAATGTGTAGTGTCGTAGGTAGTATCGCGTAATGTCACGTTGAAACTCAAGCAAATCTTTGGTACTATTATTCACGTTTTTGTACACCTTCCAAGCGTTTACCATTGTGAAGCACATCATCGAAGTAAACAGCGGCCACCACCATTTTTTGCCTCGAATCCCAATTTATCCATTTACGGCCTGATCATGCAGATCAACACCGCCCATACCGTGGTTGTAATTTGAAAGTAAATTTGGCTGAGGTATACTTATCTCTTTTTGTTCCAGTGTTGACCAACGCTTACGTATTTCAACGGTTCAACCGTATCAAAATTAGTTCCCATAGTTACGACATTATTGTCATTCCACATGACAAACAATATTTTATTATTGTGGTCGTATTTGATCTCGAAATATCCTCTTGCTTGTTTTTGGAAATATTTTTTTGGATTCAAAGGACATTTTTTAGTTCTGTTTTCTCTCGTTCCTACGGCTTTGAATTTTTTCTCACGCAACATACGTAGAAGTTCATGACTTGTGAAAAAATTGTCAAAGTAGATAATATGATCGTTTGGGTCATTTATGGTTTTTATTAGATCGACCACAACTCGAGATCCAAGGGGAAGATGTCTTGTATCACTATCAACATTTTTAGCACCACAGTAAGTATCAAATTGGTACAAGTACCCACAGCTATTTGTAAGCATCCAATTTTTAAATCTGAATCTTACGGGCTTTCCTTTGATGAATTGTTTCGCTGAATGATGGCCAAAATATTTTATCATTGCCTCGTCAATTGAAAGCTTTTCGTGCATAAAACCCCACCTTTGAAACATTTCGGATAATAGATTCGACATTGGGGAATTTTTGCCATTTTATCGGACTTGTCAATTTCGTTATTGTTTGTAAAATGAATGTGGCGTTTTATTTCCAAACATCTGTTTTTAGAAATGTTATTGCTTACAAGAGGTGATAACGTGTTTTCATCCAATTGCCATTGGCATTGAATGGTAACGAGAGTAAAATAAAATGACTAAAAAGACTTTTAGATCATCTTCGTCGAATATAAATTTATGCGAACTTTTTTGAGAAGCATACAAATGAGTTTGTTCTATGATCAGTTGTACAACATCTTTATCAAACAGTGTCTCAAATACCTCAACGGGACTTCTACCATCCAAATCCATTTTCATCTTATTTTCTACATATATATAGTAGTCGAATCATTATCAAGTTGCATGCTTCGTTGTTCCAAATAGGGCTTACAGAGAACGTATTTCACACCCATTCTTTGTAGCTGGGCAAGCGGTATTTCATCTTCGCTGTCAAAGTTTATGCTGTTTTTGAATACTTCAACGCATCCAGCAACGTCGCCGAGCAAGTTTATTTCATTTATGTTATCTTCATCACTTTCCTCTTCGTCAGTATTGACATCGACATTAGGAGGAATCATAACGATATCGACGTCATCTGCGGTGTCAGCTAAAGCTTGTGAAAGTTGTTTATATCTCTTTCCATAAAAACACGAAGTAGAAATAGCCATCCTAACCAAAAGATACAATTTTTTATTTCACCTACACATTTTGCCATTGTACCTAATCGGGTACACAACTTTTAAAAGACACATACCTCAAATTTTTTCAAATAGGTTTTTTTTTTTTTTTTTTTTTTTTTTTTTTTTTTTTTTTTTTTTTTTTTTTTTTTTTTTTTTTTTTTTTTTTTTTTTGTAAAATTGATCTCTCTTATCTCACACAACACACAATTTTAAAACTAACAACTGAGAGATAATAGCTCATCAACAGAAAAATTATGACTAAAGACAAAATCACACAATATGGAAAAACCGCACAGAAGTTGACGCCACAAAAAGGCCGTTATGATTTCGCGTGAAGCGAATGTATTTTTTTGTTGTTTCTACGAATAAAACCGCATATGATCAAAAATTTGTGTGCAAATACTTAGCATTGAGTTACGCCACATGCCACAACTTGACTGATTTTCTGTACACAAGCGAGTACAAGGGTTGTAAATGGGTTAATTAATAACAAAATGCTTTATGATCCATTTTTTTTATGAACTAACACAAGTTGCTTTACAAAAATTCTATATTTTTTTAATACCTAATAGAAATCATATACATATGTAGATGGTAGTAGTAGAGTAATAGTATTGTCTATGTATGTGTCAGCCTCAGTAAAACGTGAACGGGTCCTCAGCCGCACTTTTCTTGGAATTAAAAAAAAAGAGCAAAATTTCCCGCAAATATCGAGAATTCGGCTCAAAAAGTGACATTTTCAGTTGAGAATAACTTTGGGATGCAAACAGATCTCTACAAATGTTTTGTTGGGTTAATGTTGACACAAATGTTCAAAATCGATATAAAACGTTTTAATCGACCTGTGCTTGACCGCAGAGACATCTATTGGAAAACCGCGGAAGTTTTAGACCTAATACATAACCTTGCATGAATTATTTTGGAAGCCATTAAATCTGATTATAGCCAAAAATACATATAGAAACATATTTATGGAATCTTTTGTTTTTTAGATTTACGTATCAAAACGATGGGGTTTCACTAAGTATGACCGTGACCGCTATGAACAACTTCGTGATGAAAATCGTTTAGAACCAGACGGGTGCAATGTAAAATATCGTCCAGAGCATGGCCCTATAGCAGCGTGGGAGAAAGCACAACGCGAGGTTTATGCTTAAAAATGTATAAACAATGAAATGATGGTTAATAAATATAGTCTAACCTATTTAATAAACTTATTACTCCATCGATACTTTGAATTAATGGAAGAAAATAATACGTGGGGGTTTACCGTGTAATTCGACAATCACAGTGAATTTTGAAACTTCCGAATTTAGTTTTTTCTTTTCGCATTGTATGCTTGTAGCACAAAGCATACAGAAGTCGCATCGTTTGAAAATGTAAGTTTCAGATATAAATTAGTTTTAATTGCTCAAAAAAAATAAACTAATCTAAAGCATTTTGAATTTGCGGAGTGGAAAAAGTTAACTCCAGTACTTGCACAGATAAATTATAAATGTGATTAAATGCAAAAAATTAATGGTTTGGGCAGAGACTTCACTTAAATTCCCAGGGCAGCCGGTTCTAGGCACCGGAATTGACCCGGATTTTTTTCGGCGATCTAACCCCGTTTAAATCGGTAAGTATTAATATAAGTTTGTCGTCATTAGAGCTCCTTGTGACTTGTGCTGGCATTGAGTCCATCCTGTGCCAGGAGGAATTTTCGACTGCCTTTGTGCTAAAAGGCTCCATCCGAAGTCCACCTTGGTCAGGTGTAACACTTGCAATGGATGGATCCATCTTAAGAACTGCTCAGGCCTTCAGCCACAGAGAGTGGACCTCGGGTTACGTGGCCCCATGTTGCCAACGCAATACTGCGACAACAGCCTCTACGGCTATGCAATCTGCACACAGTACGCGCGCTGCACCGCCACTCACCCCGAGTGGCCAACAGAGGACCTCCACGATCCACAAGAGCTCAAACAGCCAACATAGCTTTCACTTGTTCCCCCCCAACCTTCATCTCTATCTAATCCTCGTGCAAGAGTCACTCAGCAACGCCTGGTTCCCCGCACAGTCTGTTTCGCTTGTCAGACCGTCATACGTTGGAACGCCACATCAGTCAACGTTGATCCATGCTATAGGAGTCTGCCTCCGCAACACTGAAAGGTATCGTCGCCAAACAACACCACAGTGCGACAACCACCCCTGTGAGTTAAGGGGATGAGCTGGCGGACCTGATTGACGATTCGACATTCTGCACTATAAATGACTGAAGTACCCACCTCAGTTATGGGCAACCGTAATAGCTGGCACCATATTCATTAAATCTGGCATCTCTCGTGTTCTGCTGTGTAATTTCGAGCTCCTGTAAATTTGTTTAATTTATATTTTAACACTGTTGTGAAAATTTTTGAAATAAGTGATCCGTAAGGATAAGTACGGCTGTGATATTTTTCTATTAAAGCATTTGAAATTAACTTAAATTGTGTGTTGACAATTTTAATTTATTCCGCCGAGTCACTTTCAATTTGTTTTTGTTGCTATATTCTGAAATAGTGGTGATAACTTATATTGCTCATCTAAATTTCTTGTTTTTATTCGTTTTCCATCTTTTTTCACAGCTGTTTGCGAGTTTCTTACTTTTTGGGTAGCACAGTGCATCTCAAACTGCTCACTACATTGGTTGTTGCCTTTGATAACTGATATTGCATTTATTTGTTATAAATACTTTTCTCATTTCTCTTTCTACTTTTATTATTTAATTTTTTTATTGCTGTTTRTTATCATTATGACTTGCAATTTCCCGAATTGTTCTGTTAAAGGCGAGTCGGAACGCTTTGTTTCTTGCTGGCTGTGTGACGGGCTGGCCCATCTGAAATGTGCTGGACTGACAGGAAGRATTTTGGATTCTATTCTTGACAGTAAGGGCTTGCGCTGGTCTTGAATTAAATGCAGACCAACTGAAATTGATTTATTTAAAGTTTTTRAGCAGGCGCGCAATAATTTCAAGGAGATTGGTCATGAGCTTGAAACCCTTACAAATAAATTCAGGCATTATGAAACGTTGTTTCAATCATTTAAATGCCTGAATGACCAGGAAGAGAATCCAAAACCTTCCAGTAAACGTCCGTCTGATGATGAGACCACTACTTCTTCCTTAAAAAGAATGCCTCCACCCAATATTGACCTTATCAATCTTTCTTCCCYTTGTCSACAAGGAGAGAAGGTCTCGTCTGCTCAGAATACAGAGAAAGCTGTTACTGAGCATGGTAAGCGAAAACCTTCTCAGGATCCGCTTCCAAATAACTAGGTCAGGTAGTGAAAATACCACCGTCGATGACATAAAGACTTATATCTCGTCGAAACTAAAATCGGAAGATATTTCATCTTTCAAGATCGACGTATGCGCTGACAATTTTCAATTGGCTCTTTGTGCGCGAATTTGAGCATAAACGTTTTAAACCCCCTGCAGTTGTCAGTAAAATGTCAAGAAAAGCCATTGATACAAAAACTGATTAGCAATAATTCGCTGAGTATTTATTATCAAAATGTAAGAGGTATTAATACAAAACTTTCCGATCTGTATTTAAATAGCGTCAATTGTAATTTTAAAATCATTGCTTTCACAGAAACTTGGTTAAAGCCCCACATGTTTGATAGTGAAATATTCAATAGCAAATTTGAAATCTTCAGATATGACCGGCTGAACAAGAAAGGTGGTGGTGTCTTGTTTGCTGTTCATTCTTCAATTCCATCTGAAGAAGTCGATGTTTCGCATGCACACTTCRTAGAATTTAAGTGCATTCGTATTTGCGCTAATAGTGGCTATATCTACTTAACTTTATCTTATATACCGCCTCACTCGGACATATCTGTATATATGAAGCATGCTTCATTAATAAATAATGTTTTCTCAATGGCTAATAATACTGATTCCATTATTGTTTTGAGGGATTTCAATTTACCGTGCGTATCGTGGAAATTTATTGATGACTACGTATTTTACGAGTTCTTAGATAAAATGTCGGAGTTGGGTCTTAACCAAATTAATTTAATTTCGAACGAGTTTGGTAAGTTCTTAGATCTAGTATATGTTGATAACGCTTCAATGTTCTCTGTTATCCGATGTGATCCTTTGGTTCGGCCAGAGGACTCGTATCATCATGCTTTGGAAATTAACATCGAAACCATAGCCAACTTTGCTCATAGTGATACACAAGACCTTTGTTTTCGGTTCAACTTTGCGAAAGCTAATTTTAAGAAAATTAATTACGAACTTTCTAAAGTTACTTGGCCACATTACAATGCCAACATTGAATTTAGTGCTTCCCACTTTAATGAAACTATTTTAAACTTGTTTGAAAAATATGTTCCGGAGTGTGTTGTTACTCATAAAATGAGTTCTAATATATGGTTTTCGAAAGAATTATGTAAATTAAAAAATAGAAAATCTCGTGCTTTTAAACTTGAAAAAAAAACTGGATTAGTTGCTGACTATTCAAAATATTCTAAATTGCGCCGACAATTTGCTGAACTTAACAAAATATGTTATAATAATTATATAAATAAAGTAAAAAATAATATACGTAATCCAAAATCGTTCTATAGTTTCGTCAATTTGAAACGCAGGATTTCTAATTTTCCGTCCGCTATGAAATATAAGTCTAGTATGTCCAGTGACAATCACACCATTTCTAATATGTTCGCTGAATTCTTTAGGTCCAATTATTCTCCAAAATCTCCAAAAAATGTTTCGCATCAGCACAAGTTATTTCCGATTTCTTTCATTAATGCACCTACCATTTCCGAAGCGGAGGTCTTATATCAGTTAAATATATTAGAACAATCATACAATTATGGCCCAGATATGATTCCCTCGTGCTTTCTTAAGAAATGTGCCAAATATATAT